TAGCGGGGACGAGGTCGGACTCCGCGGGGGAGGATAAAACCGGGAGGGGGGGAGGGCGGGGGGTTGAACGCAGTCGGGATGGCGAATCCTGAGAGTTGTCCCGGCAATAAAAACGTCGGACATCGGCGCGACTTTCAATAAATCGAACGTAAATCGTCGATGTTTTCACTTAATACAAGTAATTTATAGACGCAACTAATCTTATTTAATATGGCCATTTGATGTCACAGAAGATAATCATCTCTTTCGAAATCTGATATTAATTGTTTTCCAGCGTATCCAAGCAATACGTCAACTCCTTTTTCCGTGCAAAATTAAATTTATTTTTTTTCAATTTATTTATTTAATATGACCATTTTAATATTTTATTTAATATGACCATTTCACAAAGTTAATTTCTTTCAAAATCTGATATTAATTATTTTCCAACGTATCCAAGCAAGTAAATCAACTCCTTCAAATGCAAAATTAAATATACTTTTTTAAATTTATTTATTTAATATGATCATTTTAATATTTTTTTAATACGGCCGTTTGAGTTCACAAAGTTAATTTCTTTCAGAATCTGATGTTAATTATTTTCCAACGTATCCAAGCAAGTATATGTCAACTCCTTTAGATGCAAAATTAAATTTTTTTAAAATTTATTTAAAAGTTACATATAATATATAATTTAGAGTGTAAAATAGAGAGAGGAACTATAAAACTTTGTAACATTATTGCAACTGATGTACACCGTGACGAGCGTAAGGTACAATAGAAGCCGCGATAAATCAATATCTTTAAATATGTATACGCGTGACAAGAAGATGATAAGAGGACGCGGGTTTATCCTGGCTCTCCAAAGTGCATCAACGTATATTGAATGTGCATATTACATGCGGCACTCTCGTTGATACGTCCGCAAAGAACAATAAACAAGACTCGTTCGCTGCGGCGAACGACCGTCATAAAGGGCGGTCTAACGTTAAAGCTTCGGTAACAACGTCTCTCGATGACACCTCCCCGAGAAACGGAGTGAACGCGGGCTAGAAATTAAGAGGAGACGAACATATATCGCGTCCGGGGATGATATCTCGAGTCGGTCGCTCCGAGATAAGGCCGCGGCTAGAGTTCATAAATTATTCCGTCCAAGAGGATCGAAATAGCGGCGCGAACGCTAAGGTTAGTAAGGATTATTCACGGCCCTCCCTCCCTTAAAGCCGTATCATTTAGCATCGGTACCATTCCACTCTCGCCACGTCTGTGCCTCGCTTTCGCCTACAATTGTCGCGTTCTTCTCCATTATCTCGAGAAGTTCCCATATCTCGCTCGGCGAGATATCTCTCCCAACGCGTGGCATCCTTTTACGCATCCGCGAAAAGTCACCCAGACTATCGCACTCAGATCGCGTAATTATTTCTAGGTTTTTTTCTCTTAAAGTTAAATAAGAAAAAAAGAACATCTACAATAATAATTATAACTAAACTATACAATAATAATTATAATAATAATAAAAATAATAATTGCTTCGTTTCGTGCTCCTTCCCGGTGGACTACACGTGTTAGGCAATTTTAAAACTAACGAGTGAGACAATTATTTCAAGAACAATGGAATTTCGCGTGGCATGGTGGTGCAATTTGCGATTACAATTGAACGAGAGCACATACGTGCACGAATATCCATACAATGGCCGCGCGATCCACTCCGTCTATGTTCGCATGTGATCTTTAATGTATAATATCGAGAGAACGATGATGACGGGACCAGCGAGGAAATTGACGGTGGCGGAAAAGGCGTCTTTTCTCTCGCGTATGAGCGAGAGAGCGAGATCGATGGAGCGCGCGCGATAAAGACAGACAGAGGCGAGCGGTAGCGGTAATTGCGAGCGTATTTCGCGAGGCATTTCGCCTTGGCGTTTTGGTCGAGAAAGGATGTAGTTGAGAAACTTTCCAAGAGTAATTAACCCTTATTCGAACGAGCCGAGTTCGCTGAACGTCTCATAAAATTTCAACTAAACTTACTTTCGGAAATAAACTTCTGGGATTCACGAGAGAAAAAGATCGCGTCTCTGAAGAAATATAAGAGCGATATCGAAACTAAGAGGCGAGAAACGCGCATCGGAAAACCCGTATCTATGAAGGAAATTTGCAAGAAAGTGCGAAGCTCGCGGAATACATATGCACTGCTGACACATCTGACAGTCGCACAGAGTGACAAATGAGTGATTTGAAAATATAATTCTCCGCTTTATTAGATAAACTTTTAATTCATATATTTAATAATTAATATTTAATAATTTAATAATTGTATATAATTGATTATTTATCTTAAATTATATTTTTATTGTAATGTTGAAACGGATTTACATAATAAATTAATCAAAATAATCATATATATTAATATCATTATTAAAGACATTAATTTAAAAAGTTTAATAAAATAAGAATTATTTCTCTTCAGATTATTCGCTTGTTCCACTGTGAAACGTCGTAATCAAAGACCGATAAGCTTGAGTCACGGCTGTTGTAAGTCATCGTATTCCTGTCATCGCACGACACTTTATCCTTTTCTCCGTCAAAAGATTATATCACTTATCATATTAATGACGTACTTGCGGTCTTGTACCGAGGTGTCGGAGCAAAGCGGTAACAATGACGACGGGTTGTGACTTTTTTTTACGGAACGACGCTTTCGTCCGACAAGATATCAGTCGCTGATACCGGTATTGCCGGAAGCGGCGGGGCTTGAAGTAATTAAATCATATTCTTACGCGCTTCAACGCCGAGCGCGAAACCAATCAATTTGCGTTTCAAACCAGTTCTTTAGCGCTGGAAGAACAAAAGAAAAACACACCGCATTTCAACGCCTATATTCCGTGAAAGAAATTTTATTAATAGTTAATTTTCCTAACGATACCGGCACTAATCAATTTGCGAACTCGTTACAAGAAATTCATAATATGCGTTGTGCAAAAAGAAGAAACGTACGTAAATAAATACTCATCACACGTCAATATCTTTCACTTTAGTATAAATATCGATTAAATAAAATTTTAACGTTATTACATAATTATACAATAACGTAAATTATATTAGGATGTCTATACTCAAATCCTGTGAAAAATTTCCCTGAAGATTCCCTGATTTTCAATTTTTTGTATTTTTGTTTAAAATTCCAGGTAAAGAGAATATTTTAAACACATAATTCACAACATGGCTTATTGGCAGATTGTCTACTGCTTACAGTATAAGAGCAAAATTATCAAAGAATTTAAAAAAAAAAAAATTCCTCGAGTCCCAATAAAATTCCATAAGAATTCCCTGATTTTTCTAGGTATAAAAATATTTCCTGAAAATTCCAGGTTTTCCATGTTTTTTCAGGGAATAGACACACCCAGTATATCAAGTATTTTTATTCAATAGCGCGCGCGTATCGCGCTTAAATAGAATATTAGCAAACATCTATCGAAGCATTGATATACGCAGATAACGGGTGAATATTCAGCGATAATATTTCACGTGCGCGCGGTCGAACTGCATATACGAGTGTGTCTGTAATAATTCGTCGCGCTATCGTTATTTAACTAGATGTATCACCAGGCCGTGAAACGATCGCGGTCGTAATTCACTCGATATTTTATGCGCGCGTGACAAATGGATATTTTTTTCTTCTTCGGGATATATTCGAATAATCGCTCGTACGCCGATATGATTCCCGGCTTTAATGCGTGGCGATTAATGATGCGCGATTCGGAAGCGCGTCCGCGAAAACGATCGTTCCACGCGTCAGTTTTAAAGGGCGAGCACCACCGGTTATTTAGCTACCGGTCGTACGCGCGACGGAATCGATAATCGAATAAAATTAATTTTAAAACAAACGTTGCCGGCGCCGCCACGCCTACGGGCTGAATTCAAAATCACCGTGCATTAACTACCCGCTAGTTATCTCGAAAATGACTGCTTTGGGTATCGGTTATAGCGAGTGAACCGCGAAGGCGTTACCGGCGTATCGCACGGTGTTAATTATGCAAATCAATTGACTTAATGACTTAGCCGGATACCAAATATTACTATCAAACTCTAGAGGTATCGTGCAAAAATTTGGCGAAAGGCAAAAAAAGAATAAAAGGTGTCTGGCCTGCGTCAGCTGATTTCTTTAAAAAGAACTACCGAAGCGTATCGCGAATAAAGCACAGAACCAAATGAAATAAACATCAACATTAAACTGTCAGAGAAATTTACTGCTCAAATTTCGCAGTGTATTTATGTATCGCGAATGTATTTTTACATTGTCGATAAGATTTTTTTTTTTTTTACCTCGAACATAAAAAGACCGTGGCGCATTCTTTATGTATCTTTGCAACAAAAGCCTTCCAGCTGTTACATGTTAATGTCGCTTAATGATTTATAAATAAATTGCCGGCAACGTCGTGACTCATCCATAACGGATGCCTCCGCGAAGTCCTTGAGAAAAGTATTAACACCTGCGAGAACGATCGCAAATGCATGTAGAGCCCGACGAGTGTTTATCACTTAGAGAATCGCTTACTCGGATTTGAAAAACGTTTCACCGACGATGAGTCAGTAAGAACCCGATCTCCTTCGCAAGATTTTCTACCGTGATCTCGTATAAAGATAATCGAGCGTAGGAAAGAAGAGAAACTCGCCATCATTTCATGTTAACATATTAATCATCGTAAGTGGAATATGTGTTCGCTTATTAACACCGAGAAACAGTGCTTCTTTATGTAACGTCTTTCTACGTTCTGATGCGTCAGCTGGCAAAATGGCAGATAATACGGACATTTAAATTAAACAGCTAACAAAGGTTGTTAATATTTTTGTCGCAAAATATTCAGAATTATGCATGATTCATAAAAAGTTCATTTTCATTGAAAATCAGCAAGCGTATATATATTTCGATTTAAAAACCCTACAAGAAATTTTTAAAAATGCGAAATAAAAATTGCAGATTATTTCAACGTGCGAATAAATTTTCATAAAGTCAAAGGACTTACCTTTTTCGTCGTGTACAGTTTCCGACCTTGAAGCAACATATACATCTTCCTCCAACCGTTCGAGTTCACGTGTCGCATCCACACCATACTGAATACCTGCGGGCACTCACCGTCCTCCCGTAACAGATAATTCTGCAATGCAAATAAAATATATATTTGTTCCATTTCAGTCAGAGTATCATTTTGACTATTTTGTTGCGTTCATAACGGCAGAAAGTCACTCACCCTTAGCGCGCTCTCAGCATCGGTAAATGTATTCCTGTCCTCCCCGCTAGGAAACGCGACCATATCGGCAGGAAAGAATTGCTGCAAAAGATTAAAAAATATTGCTTTTAAATTTTATAATAAATATTGGGAAATAAAAATTCCCTAGCATTTTGTTAAAAATGGGGGAAATAACTCGTAGAAAAATAATACGAGAAAATGAATTTTATATATTTAATTTATTTTTAAATTTTATATATTTAATGTAAATGAGAAAAAACTGAACACCCTCGTGTTTTCTACAAAATTTTTTATAAAAAATTAATTTGGTATTAAAAGATATATATTTAATTGCATCGCGTTGTAAATGTGAAAAATATAAGAAAGTGTATCTATTTGCAAATTTTATTTCAATTTTGTTTAAATTAATGGTATTTTGCAAATAAAAACAACCATATCTTCAGGAAAGAATTGCTGCAAAAAATCAAAATATCGCCTTTTTTATATTTTATAATAAATATTGGAAATATCCTAGAATACCCTAGAATTTTTTTCAAAAATAGAGAAAATAATTACAAGAGACATAATACGCGAAAAAATGAATTTTTCTAAAATATTTCAAATATTTCAAAATATTACAGTAAAGGAAATCTCATATTTTGCAAATATCTCAAATTCAGGAAATAGTTGAAAAATTATTGGAAAAAACTTATTGAAAAAAATAAAAATTTTTCTATAAATGAAACACAAGAGAGCTCTATCTTTTTATTAAAAATAGAAATATTCCGAGAGATTTCCTCGCCCTAAAGGGCGTTGACTACGATGCTCAGTTTCCGAAGTTTAGTTTCTGCGCTCGTTATCCTTTAATTGGCCAATCATCGGCAAACCAAGGCCAAGTTACAAGATTTATGATCCCATGGCTGACTGACTTTCAAACCACTAATTGATATTGGTTCAAATATATACTAATTAGTGAATCTATTTCGGAAACGCCGTTAAATCTCGGCATCAATGTTATACATTATCTGCTTTTTTTATCAAGATTCAAAATAATACCTATACCAACAAGATCTCATTCAACTCTATCGCCGTTTATATCCTCCCAATCTCGATGCGTTGAATTTAAAATGATACTGTGCGATTTTAATCCTGTAAAATCCCAGGACACGAACGTTCAATCAATACTACCGAATTCTCCAGACTTTCATCACTTCCGATATATCCGCGGGAAGCATCCCTCGCGCCATCTTCAAAACTTATCCAAGCTCATCGTCAACGAATGCACTACTGTCGGTAAACGCGAGAGCAGAAATTTCACTAGGTATGCATACCGACACATTTATGCGGGTAAATTTTCGTCGGTAATGTCAAAGCTCTTCAGTTATCTCCGAGCCTCCACTAGTCGTGAAAATTTATACAGAAGCGGCGAACCTTACTAATTCGTCGGTATTTCAAGGCACCTCGATCTGGCCGATAAATTGTCGGTAAGTTACCACGTATAATTTGCCAACCGATTCAGTAAATAATAACGGAGAACGTAAGATATTTTTTGATTTTTTACGGATTTTTACATGTATCTCTTATAAAAGAAAATAATTTTTATAAACAATTTTTTAAACGCGTAGTAATAAAATCATTTATCTTCTTCTTACCTTAGGATCGACGAATGGTTCGTATTTCAGGAAATCTTCACTGAAATAAAACCTCCTCTCATAGCGCGAGGCGAACATCTCCAGTTCTCTATGAACAGCAAGAATGTCTTCATGGTCTTCTAATGTACGTTCTGTAACAAAAGCGTTCATTTTAATCGCTTGTGAGATTATTTGTAAACTATTTCTCATAATTATTATCAATTTAATTTTTTACAATATTATCCCAGTCTAAAAAAAAGTTTTTTATCGTAGAATTAATTTTTTAATACAGTAAATAGTTTTAACATTCTCTTTTTGTCTCTTTTTGTTCTCATTTTGTCAAGCCTTCTTCTTTTCTATATTTTTATCAAGTTTTTATAGCGAGTTTTATATCTATAAATACGGCGGGTCGATTCTCGTCATGCGATCAATTTGGAAAACAATTTCGCGGAAAGCATGCTGGATTAAAATAACGTGACATTTCGCCCGGAACTCTAAACAAACATTCCATACGGAGACACGCGGTGAATCGCGTCTCTGACCTGCACCAAGCTCCTGGAGGTTCGCCCGCTATTGATTCTCGGCTGCATTATAGAGCCCTGTGCCGTCTTTACGGCCCCTGCACGCGTTATTTCCGATCTTGTTCCAAGAGTCAATACCATAGAAAAAATTTAGACGATTAAAGTATCCCCGATACATCAGACGAATCGCGTTTTCTTCTGAATGGCACATGTATTATTAACGAATAATCCACCTTTTACTTTATGTCTGTATCTTTATAAATAAATTATTCGTCGCACAAGAAACATCAGATCCGATAGGTTGTCGAGTTAAAAATAGCTATCAATAAAGAAGGCCAGCGATAATCGCAAATTATACGCCAATTCTTCGATCTTCCTTATTCATATATTATATTTGGCTTCATGTATAGTTTATGAAGAATCCGTTTATGAACAATCCGAATGTTGAAATAAATGCTTAGTTTGATGATCGTTGTTACAGAATCGTAATGTTTATGTCTTGAATTATTTACTGATACATTCTAGTGTATAATTCCAGTGTATAAATATAAAACTGTACGAAGCACAAAATATAAAATGTTTGTATTTCTCTAAAAAAGAATAATATATTATATATGATCCGTAAAAAAATTAACAATCTCACAGATATAATTAATGAATAATATACAAGTGGTAGATATAACAAATAATCATATAAAAGATGATCGCAGGCTTTGAAAGTACGGTCGACGATACAATACTATTCGCATGATCATGATAAAAAATTGTGTATACTTGAGAGCTTATTGATTGATCTTTAATCACGTTCCCGAAAAAATGTATAAGTCACGGATACGATTAAAAAATCGCGCGAAGATAAATAATTAATATTACTCAATAATTTTGTCAATTTTTGTTATTACTCAATAATCACATACGTCGATATCTATAATAATAATTACTGTATATGTACTTACCGATACCCAATTTCGGCCAGATCTCGATTATCGACCAGGCAGTGCCGATCACGTTCCTCTTGACTTTGAGCAACTCGCATAAATCGATCGTTCGCAGATCCTTCTCCACAACCACAGTGGTAAAAGAATGGTCATTGTTATAGAATCGCAATTCTTCCTAGTTGAACAAACATTTAAAACATATTACTTGTACATAATTTATCTCTCAAATGGACTTAATTAAATTAATTTTAATTTATAGTTAAGTCTATTTGATCTCAATTATGTATAAATAATATCTCTCTTGTGTACCCATTAATTTCCAACATTTAATTACATTATAAATAAATTATGAATATTTAGATATAATTTATATTAATAGTCAAATTTATTATATGAACTGCTCAAGTGATAATAATAAACTACTGTTTTATAAACAAAGCGAGAGAAATTAGGTTAAATAAGACGCTTTGATTACTCTATGATGTATATACGAGTTTTATAATTTTTTTCCTTTTTTTATCAAATATACTAACCCATTAAGATATAAATCATATATCTAAATTTACCTGCACGATTTTTCCGAGCTCAAGGTTAGTCGAATATTTTTCTAGTATTTAAGCACGGGATATTTTGACACAAACCTGTCTTTCACTGTCGATCACATCCTGATTTCCTCTTCGACTCCTTCGTATCGGGCTGCTACTAAGTTCGAAGATTGTGAGATCGGAACCGAGCCGTTCGTAACTTGCAGTCCGACCGACTGCTCGATTGTTCGGCAGCGTAGAGTTGCCGTCGATGCAGGAGCACATCTTCGGGAACCAATCTGTAAAAGCCCAAGAAAAAGCTGGAGAAAAATTGATACGGCGTATCACGGTCGGCAAACAAAGGGGAAACAAATCACACAACTAAAAAATCAGAAAAAATCGCTAAATCTACTATATATATATATATACACATAATATATATGTATATATATATTTATGTATATATAATATATATGTATATATATTTGTGTGTGTATATATATATATATATCACACAGCGCGGCGCCTTCTTCCCCGGGCCCGATGTAAAGTTTTGAAGATGCTTAACAAGAAAACCAGCAAAAATATTTATATACAATACTAATACGAGGAATCGCCATATGCAGCAGTCAAGACAGAGACTAGAGGTGCCTTGAGAGATGCCTTTAGATACCCTGTATGTGTTTAGGTCAAGTTTCTAATATAAACCATTGGGCGATCGAGTATCTCGCGAAACGCAGCACATACCGATATTGTATGGATGAATCTCGGTCTATTTCGATCTACCATCCCTCATCTTTCACTCCATTCAACCATGGTCTATATATTGTCGTAGCAATTTGCACAAATTGATTGATTGATTATTTATATTATGCGAAATAAAGAGATTCCACATAATTATTTTCAATTCTTTTACTATCGAGATTTTGAACTTGTTTGTAAATTGAAGAATCGATAAGCAGAAAACTTATTTTAAATACTTTAATGAATAAATCAGCAGAAGTTTCTATTAAATCTTCTTCCAATAAATATAATTTAATACTTTAACACAGACATTTTACACAAAATTTATCTATTTTGAAGTTTATTATATTCTTTTGATTCAATAACTAACAATTGTAGACAAATATTTTTTATTACAATCAAATACAAATATAAATTTTTTATATTTAATGAGAAAAAGCTAAAACACTCTCGTGTTTTCTACAAAACTTTTTATGACAAATTAATTTAGTATTAAAACATATGTATTTAATTGCCTCATCTTAAGTGTGAAAAATGTAAAAAAAAGGTATATTTAATGATTTGCAAATTTTATTCCAATTTTATGTGTTTAAATTAATGATACTGATTTATAAATGTGCATTTTTGGAGCTATTGATTTAAACATCTTATAAAAAAAATTTCCTGCCCGTTGGGTCATTTTTCTCAGGATTTTTTTTTTATAATGCTTGTGTGGAATATCTCAATTTCTCAGATGTATTTTTATAAGACTTATTTTTTGCACGGTTCTCTTCGTTCATTCGTACAATACGCGTTTACGACTTAATCGAAGGGGACTCTCCTCCGGGTAGATCGAACACGCAAAAGTCCACGTTGCAAAGATACCTTGAAGCAATGAGTAGCGCTTTAATAAACTGCTCGTCTGTCCCGTATCCGGAGTCATGGCGATGCACCAGTAACGAAAGCTCACATGTATATGTATGACAGCGGCACTGATACTCGATGTACATATCCATCGAATTCGCTCGTCATGGATTAACGATCGTTTCCACGAATCAAACGATAAAAAAAAAAGAGTAGAGAAAGCTATATCAACGGCAAAACTAGTAAACACGGATAGAATTCGAAGATTCCTGGTCTCTGTCTATTTATCTGACTAATAAACTCTTTTTTCCCTCCCTTCCCTCTTTCATGAATTAAAAATTCGATTATAATCGTAATATTTCAAGAATAGCACCGACATTCGTGGAAAAGAGATCAACTGTAATCGAGCCATGATTTTGCAAAGAATATTTATCACGAGATAATAAGGATGTAAATTGTTTTACAGATTTTTTGCAATGTTTATAAAATTATTGCCGATAACAATCAGTGGAAAATCAGTAACGAGTTCATTAGCGTTGCAATTTAAGTGTATGCCTTTGCGCTTTGACTTTCATCGAGTAAGCATTTCCGTTAAAGGTAAATCCAACTCGAACCTGTCGTCAAATAAACGTTTAATGTCACTCCATATCCAATCGATCGATTGCTATTAATATTTTGATCTCGTACACTAAAATTACTTAGAGAGAAATTATTTATCTTTCAATCAGAATTTATTTTTGTATAACATTTTACTTTATGCAATATTTATGTAATATCATAATTTCTTTATAAATATTTACTTTTAGAAAGATATATTTATTTGAGCTTCTAGTTTGAAATAGACGAATTGCAACAGGTGAAATTTAACAGAAATAATATAATAAATATATTATAATATTGTAGAATGTTCTCTCTATTCCTTATATATTATACTTTGGAATCAATCGCGAAAGGAATCTCTCTCGTAGATTACGAGAACGTTGGGAGCATAGTCCGTAAACCGTAACAGGACCGAGTGCGAGGGCAGACTCTCGAATTAGCGGGCCACGTTGACCGTTAATTGCGGCAATTAATTAACTCGCAATTGCCCGGTATGCGGTATGCAAATGCGCAAAGCGCGTAATGTTGTGAGCATCGCCGATTGCAGTTGCCTCCGCGCGACATTTTCGGAGATTGCATGAATGAAATCAGCGGATAACATCTGGTAAATTCACCGATAATCAATTTTTATACTTTAATTTTATTACTTTTTATACTTTGAATTAAAAAAATAAACACTAATTATAGTGATGAGATATTTCTTTCTTTCTTTTTTTTAATTGTAGTATTTTTTAATCGATGTAAATTAATTTGCCCAATATTATAAATTTATTTATTTCTCGTTCGAGCAACGTAACTACTGGAAAATAGAAAATGTGTGAGAATATGCTCTCTTTCTTTCTTCATAAAAAGAGGATACATGTATCTGGGAATAAGATCTGGATAAGTATCTGGGAATTAAGAAAGAAATACATTTCGTGAATATCAAGAAAGGTACACAGATTCTCTTCTTAATTCCAAGCTATACATGTGTAAATTTTATCCTATAGTAACGCAGATCGCTAGTTTCATAACAATGACCGCAGCCTTGGCCTACTCGCGCCTCTACCTATCTATCTACTAATATGTACATATATAATTATTTTATCCCATTTCGCTATTTTACTGCTCCTTTGTAACAATCTGCCTATTGTTACACATATCCGTATCCGCAACTGTAATCTCTGCTTTTACGGACACATCTGATTTTGCGAGGAATAGCAAAAAAACATTAACGGCGCACCTTTGGGTACTTCTTGTGTATATTTCTCCTACCATTGTAACATTTTTCAATGAATTAAATGTTGTTTGTAAAAAATAAACCAAAATTTAAATTCAACATATTTTGTCAACGAAAATTTAGTCAACGGAAGTGACCTACGATTAGTTGGTTCCTATCTGTATACAGGATGGGCCCAAATGTTCTGGCCAGACTTTGAGATTTTATAGGAAATTTAATTTAAAAAAAAAAAAGTGGTCCTATAATATGGGTCGAGAAATGCTTCCTTAAAAAGTTAGCGCTCAAAAACCTCTGAAATCACGGTTATTTTATACATTTTTACAAATATCAGGGAAAATATGCATTTTTTAACAAAAAGTTTAATAAAATTAAATTATCTTTCAAATGAAATCAAAATGATTATAGTTCCAAGAAATTTATTAAGTTTCATTTTCTTTTTGTTTCATTTTTTTCACCCTCTGCTCTTCCTTTCATCCTCCTATGGTGATTAAGGTTTAAACAATGCAAAAAAGTAAATTTTTTTTTTAGTGAAATAACCAACAAGCAAGATAAACATTAAAAATTAGCTAAGGCCATAACAGCATAAATAAAGAAGATTTTTAAAAAGCTCTACCCTCGATAGCCAAAAAAACACTTTTTTGTACATTTGAAATTAGTTATCTCAAAACCTATGGAACATACTATAATCATTTTGATCTCATTTAAAAGATAATTTAATTCTCTACAACTTTTGTTTCGGTACTTTTTGTTAAAAAACGCATATTTTCCCTGATATTTATAAAAATGTATAAAACAACCGTGATTTCAGAGGTTTTTGGGCGCTCGCTTTTTAAGGAAGCATTTTTCGACCCATGTTTATTGGAAACTTTTTGTTCAGAATTAAATTTCCTATAAAATCTCAAAGTCTGGCCGGAATGTTTGGGCCCACCCTGTATATCTGCTTGTCAGCGAACAGTTTCCGCTGCTTTGTAAATCGAACTGAAACAATTTCGTTCGTGAAAGTTATTTGTGTGGAAGTTGCGAGAGGATATTTCGTTTTCTCTTCCCGAGAGAGAGTGTCTTGGGTGTCATAATTCCGAGTGTCTATATTTACGAAGCAACGGATCCCTAATCACCGTTGTCACGGTGATAACACGTTATCTCGTGTCGATATCGTAAAGGAGCTTTGGACACCTCGGCGTGGATGTTTCCCTCAGTCATGCTCGCTCGTAAGTTACGTGGTATGCGGGCATCTACCTGTCACGATGACAAAACCAGGTCGTTCCATAAGCACAAGCCGGAACGTGCGCAGTCGCACCCGAGAAAAATAACACACAGGCAATAATGGGGAGAAACCTGTCTCTCTCTCTCTCTCTCTGTCTCTCATACCCTATCTCGCTCATTTATCTCGTTCGATCGCGGAATTTTATCTATTCCATGATCAAAAGGACTTTAACAATCGAAGGAGGGGATCGATAAGTCATGCGTTGGAAAGACAATGCTTGATGATCATCCTGACGTTGTACCATGATAAACGAAAGCGCAAATGACCTTATCCTTAGGGAAAAATTCATGAAAAGAAGAAAACAATGAGACATATATCAGAGAAGAGAATATACGAAAATATCGATGCCTTGAGCAACGAGAAACGACGACTATATCCCAGTAAAAACAAACAGTTCACTTTACATTCTCATGCAATAATGATTCTATAATCACAGCAGAATAACAAGATAAATGTCATATATCACACACAAACTGAGACATATACTATTTATCAAGAAAATATTTGAAAAATAATCTAGATCCTCTGATGTCTCTTTAAATAATCGAAATATGTCGACATAAAATTAAAAATGAAAGATTCGATTCGTGCATCAAGATTTATCGAATTCGACAACTGAAACTGCAATG